AATAATATAAAAAATATTTTAAAATGTGTATAATGTATGTGTGTGTGTGGTACCACTTTATGCTAAAAATATGGCTAGAAAAACGTGACTGGTGAAACACTTAGCCAGATTATAGGCATTGCTCCTAAAAATTAATTTCAATATTAGGAGTATACCTAAGGGAAGAACAGGAGTATGCTATCACTTCCTGTATCCTCCCAAAGGAGAGGATGCAAGGAATGATACATATAGTGTGATTCTTGGGTACAGCACAGAAAAATATGCTTTCATCTTCTAAGAATCCGGTATTCTGGCCAGATTGCGAAACGGTTCAAAGGTTTACCACTCCTCATCTTCCAGCTTAGGGGAACGTACATAAAAAAAAACTTTGAACGGATAAGCTCTGGGAATAAGGAAAGGGGAAGATACGAAAGAACCAAATTAAAGAAACGTCAGGTTCAATAGAAATATTTCACAATTAGGTTTGGAATCTTCATCGGGTTAAAGAGACTTTTTCTGAGTTTTTTCTTTTTTAAAATAACTTTTTTATTGCCAGACTTTTTCTGAGCAATTATTTTATCTTCTTCAAATGGTGGATACAGATCTTGATTTACGATTAATGGATCATATGATAATTTGCCATACATTAAATAAAATAATTTGATTACAGAATGTGGTGAATTATTTTATTCTTCAGTAACATGAGGTATCCATTTTGTCTATGCAATAATATCTTAAAGAGACTTTAATTTACATTTTAACTTAGTTATGATATTTTTATTAGCTCTTTCTACTTTACCATGAGTTTTTGGTTTATTATCAATAGTTAATAATTGTATATCATTATGCTTCCCCACAAATGCTTAAATTCTGAGGAAGTAAAAGTAGCATTTCTATCACTTAAATTTTGTTTTGGGTCCTGAATCTGAAGCATTTGTCTTAAACAATTTATGTAAGTATCAATAGTTACACTTTTAGAAGCAAATGTCCATAATAACGAGCATCATGATCTATAATTATGTAAATATACTTTTTAGTAGAACTATAATAATTAAAATCATCGACAGTATCTACAGATAATAATTCAAAAGGTTCACTTGCTGATGGTAATACTTACATTAAACAAAATTTGCACTTAAATCAAATTTCGTTTCCTTACATTTCTTAAAAACTGACATATTTCAAAGTGCTTAACATTACTTTCTAATATCTTGCACCACTGCTGCCCAGTAATATTGCGAAAATAATAAATATAGCATTGAGACACTAAATATGACAAAATTCAATATAAGCTTTTTCAAATAATTTAGTGCGAAGGAATATTGGTACTACAATTTTATGCAACTCTTATTTCTTTACGGTAGCATTGTTAAATTTTTTATACCTAAAATTACAAACATTATCTAACTTTTGATGATCTTTAACTTCGTTTAAGAATAATAAATTAGTTTGTACCCACAAATGCTGACAGTTAGGATTCCTAGTTAATTTATCAGCTCCAACAAAATCATACAAAAATCATTTTAAAGACCATCGATACAATCTACCTGTAGGATGTTTTATATTCTTAAGCCAAACTAAAGCAGAATGTTTTAGTATGTACAATAAAATTATTTCCATGCAAATAGTAATAAAATATATCTATAGCATCTACAGTAGCTAAACATTTTAATTCAATGATTGCGTAATTTTTCCCATGCGATCTTAATTTTCGAGAATAGAAAGTTATAAGGTGTAAATTACCGTCTGGGTCCCGATGATTTCGTACATATGTACTTATATAAGAAATTCAAAAATATAAAAAAATGTAATTATAAAATTACAGTTGACTTTCGCATTTAAATCCCAAATTAATACTTTAAAGAATTTAAAGCTAAACGGTTACCATCAGTTTATTAATATAAGCATTAATATACAGAATTTCAAAATACAGAACACGAAATTAGTCATTCAAATAGAATTTAAAACGTCAAATATTAGGTAAAGCGCTTCTTGTTGTTTCATCACAACAAAGCAATGATTTCATGACATGTATATTCAATTAATAAAAAAAGTACTTATTTATTTAAGAAGTAGCTATCCAATTTTTCACTGAATCGCTTACGCAATATACTTGTAGCAAATATTAGTCTTAAAATAAAGGGGAAATATCAATAATTTCTGTTTTGTAAGAACACACATTCGCATAATGAAAGCAAAATAGCACTTACTTTGAAGTGTTAATGAACATTATACAGATTGTCTCACATGCTCTATTTAGAAGTATTTTCGTCTAACTATGTCGTATCCTTTCTGTTGTGGTTGTTGTCGAACGAATTCCTGTTTATAAAATTATGCTTACTGATAAAAACCTAATCTCTAAGATATCATTAAATATTTTCTTAACTAATTTAAATTTTTAATTCCTTTTAATCTCTATTTTCTGCACAAGAAGAAATGTTAAAAAAATGAAAACGGTCAATAAAAGTCTGTTGTAATGAACAAGAAATCTGAATACATTTTTGTCGAAACAAATTATTTTAAAATTAAGTTTCAAGCAAGTAGTAACTGAAATAATCAAATCATTTAATAAAATCAGAAAAAATAAAGATTTTAAATGTAATTTAATACATCTTCTTGCTTAGGAATTTTGAAAGGAAAACGGCTTAAATTCCGAGCTTTTAGAGGTAGTTGTTTTCCAGCGTAGCGAGAAAATAAACATATGGGTCATTTTTCATTAACACAGCCTCATTCTACAAACTATATACTTCAAAATACATTTCATATGAGTCTGATTCGTATTTAATATATACCCTTGATGAAATCCTGTGTTTAACACCCATAAACATAAAAACATTTCGGCTATTATATATGAAATGCTCTGGATGAAAAAAGAAATCAATCAAAGCAATTATTTACCCGTCACCTTAAGCTGTATATAGGGCAGTTTTAAAAATTGACTGTATAATACCCATTTTTGATAATTTAAAGTAAATGTAATATTTATAAATTTAACTTAAAATAAAAATTCTGTCACAGTGGAAGATAGTGTTTTATTCATATGATTCTTATGATGATAAAATCAATCATGATCAACATTCTCATCATCCTGCATAATTTAACATTAAGCTTAAAGGAAGTAACTGCAATTACTTACACTTTGTGGATTGTATAAGGATTACTATATTGGTTTGCATGTTTAGAAACATAAAACATGTTACAGTAAATTTTTATTTTAGAAAAAAAAAAAAATTCTCTGTACTGGTCCAAATCTATAACGATGTCTTTTTACTTAAACATATATTTTCGAAAACTTCACTTCTCATGATGCGAAGCTTAAGATTGAAAATTTAATATATATGTATAATTTTTTATTTACTCCTTACGTGAGAAAAAATTATTTATTCAATTTTAACTCAAAATATGGCCTTTATACTGCTTAATGACTTTTCCTGCAGAACTTGTTCAACACACTTAAGCTTATATATTTGAGAACATGTTATATGAAAGCCGTTGACATTCTCCGAAATCCTCTCGAAAATATAGTTTTATATATACAAAAAACATCTAATGCTCCTGCCGATTCGCCGATGTATTAGAAATAAAAGAATGAAAAATTCCTTTAATCTATACACATTTCCTTCTTTGATTTTCATTACAAAACTTTTTAATTTTGTGTATGATCAATAAATTATTTTATTTGTTATAATAAATCTCTGGCATTCGTTTAGAATCATTACCATGTGTAAAATAAATTCAAAGTTAAAAACGAATTACTGAATACAACAGAACTGTAAATATCCGGATGTATTGAGATAATTGGCTTTTTTTTTTTTTTTTTTTTTTTTGCAGGCGAAACTATTGTTTCTTATAATATAAGTGAGGAAACGTTATTTCTTCTTTTATTGTATCTTAAGACTACAAAACAAATTAGTTTCTATAAAACCAAAAATATAAAACACACTTTTTTTCTGACAAAATTAAAAAATGAATTTTTATTTCTCCCAAAAGACTAAATATAATTAACTACATTTATGCTATGCTTATTTATGCTATAAATAATTTCTCCTTTAAAAAAAGAAAATTTAAGTAACTGCCCAATTCTGCTCAATTTATATCTAGAAAAGGTACATTTATTATGATTTAGCAATATTTTACAGGAAAAGTAAAACTTTTTAGATCTATACAAACTATTCATTTTTCATGTATAAAATATACATTTGCTTTTCTATTAATTTTTATGATCTATGTATTTGTTGAATATTGTTGATCAAATCTATCTTTCGTATTCATATAAGTTACACTTTAACATAAATAATAACATAAGTTAACAACAGTGAGAACATACATTCAATTCTGGATAACTGAAGTTCTTTCCTATATAAAGAAGTTTCATATAATTAATTTAATGCGAGGTTATTATTCTTCACCTGAATAGTTTTGCACCTTAACATGAAACTTATATGAAAAATTGAAACTTCACGTATAAAATAAGGTATTCGAATATTTTATTTCAAATGCATTAGAAAAATAAGAAAGGAAAGAGAAAACACATAAGCGAGAATTTCGGATCACTTTACTTTCTCAATCGGAAGGTATCAGAGAAAATAAATAAATAAATATATCATAAACATAAAACTGATAAAAAATACAATAGTTTCTTTGTCATTTAGGTTTTTTTTAAAAACATTTAAAAAATGACTCTGAGGAAGCCTTTTAATATTTCGCCATTTTCAAAAATCGAAACTTTTCAAATTAAATAACAAAATAAGTACTTTAATCAGATTTTTCAAATTTATCCGAAGTAAAAAAAAGTATGGATGCTAGAGAATGTTATTTCGATTTTTACAGTTTTAATTTTGATTTTTAAGAAGAGATTCTCTCAAATAAACGATAATTGAATTAATAAAATTATCTAAAATTGCCTAGATATACTGAAAACTGAGTTTTAAAATAGAACGCACGATATTTCCGATACGGGAAACTACCTGCGCGAGAGATTGTTTTGAGAGAGGAGTAGTGAGGGAGTGATAAGATGACGTCACGGGGAGCGCCCCCTGGCAACGAGCGGCCGGCAAACCGGCATTTGCACCCTGGGAGTCCGATCTGCTGACGGATCGCTCTCCCCTCACACCGCCGTCGCGACGGATCGCCACGACGGCAACAACAACAAAACCTTCGCTCGTCCCTTCGCACTCACTTCCGCGCGGTGGCGGAGGTTCCGGGCCAAAATTTCACGGATACAGTTTGCCGAGAAATGGGGTGTGACCCCCGTGCTGAAGCCGCGGTGTGTGGAGGCCGGCAAGCTGGGGTCAACCCCCCGGCGGCGGGCCTCCACAGGCAAAGAACGCAATACCCCCGCATCGGGGAATGGCAGCGTGCTCGTTTTGCCCACTTCGGATGGTGGTTCTCACATTCTTTCCTTTCTTCCCGAATCCAGGTCGCTTCCGAAACTGGGCAGCGAGGACTTGGGAGGTCCGGAGGGCATCAACAACCAGCAACAACAGCAGCAGCAACAACAGCAGCAGGGTTCACCAGCTCCAGGCAACTTCGAGCCCATCCCTCACGACCACGACTTCTGCGAGAGGGTAGTCATCAATGTCTCCGGGCTACGTTTCGAGACCCAGCTGCGGACGCTCAACCAGTTCCCCGACAGCCTACTTGGAGATCCAGGTCGTAGAATCCGGTACTTCGATCCATTACGCAACGAGTATTTCTTCGATCGTAACCGGCCCAGCTTCGACGCCATCCTCTACTACTACCAAAGTGGAGGACGGCTGAGAAGACCAGTGAATGTGCCGCTTGACGTCTTCGCAGAGGAGATCAAGTTCTATGAGCTTGGAGAGGTTGCCTTTAACAAGTTCCGTGAGGACGAGGGTTTCATCAAGGAGGAGGAGAAGCCCCTGCCCAAGCAGGAACTCCAGAAGAAAATGTGGCTGCTTTTTGAATATCCAGAGAGTTCTCAAGCAGCCCGTGTTATCGCCATTATTTCTGTGGTGGTAATCTTGTTGTCCATCTTTATATTCTGCCTGGAGACGCTGCCCGAGTTCAAACACTACAAACTCTTCAACATGACCAATAACATGACACGTGTGATGGAGGACGAAGTCCCCAAAACAACAGACGCTTTCTTTATCATCGAGACAGCCTGTATAGTGTGGTTCACTTTCGAACTACTGGTGCGTTTCTTGGCATGTCCTTGCAAATAGCTTTCTTCAAGGATGTTATGAACAGTATAGATCTGGTGGCCATCATTCCTTATTTCATTACTCTAGCAACTGTGGTAGCTGAAGCAAAAGCTCAAGAACTGCCCATTATTTCTGTGAATGAGAGGGCCGGAAACAACCAAGCCATGTCACTGGCCATTCTTCGTGTCATCCGTCTTGTCCGAGTGTTTCGGATTTTTAAGCTGTCCAGACATTCGAAGGGCCTGCAGATCCTTGGAAGGACTCTGAAGGCCAGTATGCGAGAGTTGGGCTTGCTTATTTTCTTCCTATTTATTGGTGTTATCCTGTTCTCGAGTGCCGTGTACTATGCGGAAGCGGACGCGGAACGCTCCTACTTCAAAAGCATTCCTGACGCCTTTTGGTGGGCAGTGGTCACTATGACCACTGTGGGTTACGGTGATATGAGGCCAATCGGCGTCTGGGGCAAAATCGTGGGCTCCCTCTGCGCCATTGCCGGCGTCCTAACAATCGCCCTTCCCGTGCCAGTAATAGTCTCCAATTTCAATTACTTCTATCACCGCGAAACGGACCAAGAAGAGATGCAATCTCAGAACTTTAATCATGTGACTAGCTGCCCCTACTTACCAGGGACAGTGGGATCCAAACTAAAACGCGACTCACTAAGTGAATCTACTTCGGACATCATGGAATTGGAAGAAGGGGCGATAGACCCAGAGATAACGCCTGGTACGCCTTCCCCAGGATTACAAAAGAGGTCCAATCCCGGCCACACAAACAACAACCATACCTCGTCCGTGTCGGTGGCCGTTGAAACGGATGTTTGATTCCAGTTCATTCCGTCTACAAATGCTATGTATTTAAGTTCAGCTTTGGATTTAATTTGCAAAACGTATCCTTTTTCTGTCGTTTCTCAGCACTTTTGTGTTTCAGCTCCACTGAAATAAGTGCTATTATCAATTTCAAGGATGGATCTGTGAGAAGAATTCAAGGTAAGAATTTTTTCATTCATTCTAAGCTTTCTTCATTCTCTCTCTATAACTGTTAATTGTAAATGTTACATATATTTAATAATAATGTCATAAATAATTCTTATATATTTTAATTTTATGTCATGAATGATTTTTATGCATTTCATTTATATGTCATGAATGATTTTTATGCATTTCATTTATATATCTTGAAAGTTTTTCCGCCATATACCTTAAGGCACGATGTATCTTAACCAAATGAGTTCGAAAGGGAGTTTTTATAACAAAAACTTTAAAAAATTTCTGATTTATTTATCATTTGAAAGAAAACTTTCATTTAATGTTATTAATATTGAAGAAATATGATAGAAATTTCTGTCTTGTTTTCTTATTGCAAATAGTAATTTGAATTTTCATTTGCTCTTTAATAATTTGCAGCTTTACATCTTCCTAAAACAATTTAGAACTAAATTTAGAAGAACTTAAATAATTCTTTAAAACTGCCTATTAAAAAATTAATCCCACGTAACCTTTTTATTTGCTAAGTTATAAGATATTTTTCTTATCTCAACGTACGTTACAATACTATAAAAAAGTTTTGTAATATTTAAGAATATAATTAAATTTTATCATGTTTTTACACAGAAATTTTATGGTATTGAACTTACGTTTAATGACCAGAATATAGAATAATATTACAGTCAGAAAAGAATTCACATTCAAGGAATTTTCCAATTATCACAGTCAGATATATGATATAATATTTTCTATTTACTTTCCTGAGCATCTCGTACCCGTATTTAGACATTAAATACACATGTAAATCGGCTGTTCTTTTAATATAATATTAATGTAAATATATTTTAGAAGCTGCTTAATTACCCCATAAAGTCTAAACTTTGAAAGAATAATCTTATGTAATCTTGCATTCTTTTTACCCATTCTTATTTTAATATTTCTTAAAGTAATGTATATGCATGTTTTAATTACGTTTCTATCATCGTTGTATGAATGGCTATAAAATCCTAAAATATCATTTAGAAAACACGTTTGTTTAAGAATCAATCACATTTACAAACAGTTCAGTTTGATGCTTCAAACAAAAAACTGCATTCATACGGGAAGGTTAATTGTTTGAAATTTACACGAAACTGATTTATAAGTGTAAAATCTTTCATAAAATTAATATCTTTAAAAGTCTTTTCATGTTTTACAATGTTATATTTTTAAATCTCGTTTAAATTACAGCAATAAAGAGTTACTTTCATTTCGGATATTTTTAGTGCAGCACATAAGTATATTTTACACTACATAACTACAGTGCATTTTAAAATAGCCAATTATCAAACTCAGAATTACGGCATAAAAGCCTTAGTATCTCACGCCTTAGTAGCCTTAGTATACACGGTACTGAGTATAATTATCGCATTAATTAAACATAATATATTAACCTATATCGTATTATTGAAACATGTTTATTAAGTTTTTACAAGATTAATAAACGTCTGAGTATGTTCTGATTTATGTTTAAATACGCTTCAGGAATTAAGTCTTTAAAATTTTGCATTAAAATTAAAGTACATTAAGACTTCGATTTCCTTTTGCATTTTTATACAATACAGAGTTGAATTGTTACTTATTTCCACTTTATTTCAGTCAGACTAACTTTCGACAATACCTGACTTGAAAATAAGTATTATTTAAAAAGCTTTTTTTTTTTTTTTTTTTTTGCTTTTGATTATGACATTATTTTTTGAAGTTTTTGCGCCACTAAAAGGCAGAGAACGGTGATATACGTCGTTTCGGTTAAAATTTGAGATATTTATAAAATATTTATGTCGGAAGTAACTGAGTTAAATACAACCGTAACTTTCATTATTTACAAGTTATGCATATAAAAATTATTTATAGAACATACAGTGCTTATAATTAGATATTTATAATACTGCAGTTATTTCCATCGGAATAGGCATTTCTTCAAAATCAAAACAAAATAATCCGTCTACAACCGAAAAATTCATAAGAAGTAGGAATGCGAAGTTTTCTCAGAAATGTTTCTGCGCTATTTAAATTGAATTCTGTACTTAAGACACAGGAAGGAAATTTCAAAGCTTCATTAATTTGTGATAGATGGTTTCCGAACATCAAATATCATAATCGCATGAACTCTTAATGCATTTACAATAACTAAAATGCTTTGCAAATATAAAACAGAGACCAGACCTTTTTGGGAAACAAATTTAAAAAAAGATTGAAACAAGAAAAATTTCGATGAATTAAAATTTAGCTGTTTACAAACAAGATATTCACCAGTCTAATATTAAGCGGACAACAACCGTCAAAGCAGTAGCTGCTTCATATCGTGAATCTAGATGTTGTTTTTTTTTTTATTTCCAAATCTTATATTTTATGCAACAAAACTGGTTTCATAACCAGCATTAAATTAAATATAAGACATCTTTGATACAAGTGGGCCAGATATTGTATAAACGAATACAAATTTAAGAATTTTATGAGGAATAGATTAAAAACCAGCAAGCTAGTCTGCAACGTTACGTTTGTGATGCTTTTATTTTCTTATTTATAGTGCGTTGGCTGGAGTACAGCTTCAAATTCCTTTTCTTATAATATATCGCGGTGAACGGACTGGCTGCATGGCTTAAGTAGATAGCCCTCGAGTGCTTTGCCATAGTTAAATATAAACCAAACCTTTATATATAACTGAGTTGTCAGACTCTTCCTTGTTTAAATATTGAATAGGAGATTGATGATTATTTTTTAACAGTTTTAATTTTGTTGTATCAAAAACCTTTAAATACGAAGAGAATGAAGAGTCTGGGTAGTAAATACATAAAATTTACATAGATACTGGAATACAAAAAACCTTTTGTTATTGAAAATTTAGTGATAATTAAATATTAACGAATTTATAACTAGATAAATTAAATAAAACTTTTTTAAGGATTTAAATCATTATTTATAGCATTATCACTGAATATTTAAATCCACTGGATGATTGTTATTTGGGATTAGTTTGAAATAATATGAGAATTAAAAAATTGCGACATACAAGCTCTAAGATAAACAAATAAGACTGGCAAAGCGTGCAGAATAATGACTCAAAGTAAGATCGTTGTAAAACGCTGATATGTGTAGAGTGCAAATATTATTTGAATGCGTATATAATCATATGTATAAAAATAAGATAATTGTATTGAAATATTTCACAGTCTTGAATAGCTCTGAAATATACTTTCCCTTTGAATTAATTGCAGTTTTCTTTCGCATCAGAATAAGATGACTTAATTAAATCAGCTTAAATACTCGTAATTCATTTAAATTTAGCTTTAAGTACATATTTATCTCTAAACTATTTTGCGTTGAAATTTACTAAATAAATTAGCTTTAAAATTTCAAAATTAATATAGATCCGTCTATGATGTCTCTTTTCCAGCTTCAAACGTTTTCGACGGTAAGTTTTCTGCTAAGCTCTTTTCAGGAAAGAGGAGGGTTCCCATTCAGTAATTAACACCTGAAAAGATAATTTGGTTTCACTTTGAAACTAAATTCATATCCTAAAAGAATAAAAAACCTGTATTTAATCCGTAAGTCAAGTTTTTATACAGTAACTCATTTTGTTTTTTGAAAAATTTTCTAAAATATAGCAAAGAGCAAAGGGACTTTCTTTCTTTTTTTTATCTCTTTTTTAATACCTGCTTGGTTTTCAAAAACCTTATTAGAAATGTTTATTGGCCGCCAAGATGGTATAGTGGTTAGAGGAACCTGCCTGCGATAGTGAAGGGGCCGGGTTCGAATCTCGGAGAAGACATTTTTTGGATGTAAAACTGTAATAGGAAGTAATAGTGGCCGCCTATTGGGTGCCGCCACAATAAAATGGTAACCGCTTCTGGCCTTAGAAGTGGCCAATGCCGTTATAGGCAAATGCCCGCCGTTTGTAAAAAAAAAAAAAAAAAGTTTATTGAAAAACGTTTTGAAAATAAACTAGCATAAGTATTCGGACACTTTGAATAAACATTTTATGTTTAAAACAAACAGTAAAATAAGAGGACAACTGATATTTCGTTGGATATTCTTCTGCTAAAAGTACACTTTTAACGTGCGTTTTCATATATTCAAATAATGCTTTAGAGTAAGAATGCTCCATGCCTTTGCAAGAATTGCTTTTAATAGACCATTCCAAGAGATATTATGTTTACTTATTCTTTTCTGGAATTCAGTTCAAGCACGTTTGATACGATTTAACCCTTTGGGAGCCATGACCGCCTTTATCCGGTCATGAGATTTATTTTTTCTCTCGATGTCCACTAGTTTAAAATTCAAAATATTTTGCTTTCTTACTTTCTTTAATGGCGTAAATATCATCTTAATGAATGGAAGTTTATGAAAACAGAAATTAAATTTAATAATTATGCAAATTTAGTTATTAAATGCGGTTTAAATACAGCAGAGTTCACAAACAGATTCAAAAACTCATGCCACTCATAGGGTTAAGTCCGGAGTATATGGAGAATTTGTGATAACTTTAGTACAGTTGTATATAATCATAAGCGAAAATTTAGGGATCTATGTTTAGGATCGTTTATCCTGATGGAACATGGATATTGTTTTCTTTCAATGTCTCTTAGAGTCTCATTACGAATATTTATATATTTATCCCGATTCATTAGATTTTCTCTTAAAAACTCAATTTTACATCCTAGAGGCAGCGAAAGCATTCTCGAATGAACATGCTTTTTTCCTCGTTCTGAACAATAGACATTCCTTTTTTTTTCGGATTCAATTCTTCATTTGACTTTTGCCATACAGCAATTCATCCATCGGACCCAAACATATTAAATACTGACTCGTCTTCAAATATAACATTATTTCAATATGATAAATCTTTGCTTACCTTGAAGT